TGAAAAATAAAAAATAGCCTCATCAATTTTGACGGTACTTTGACGACGAAAATTATACCTGCGAAAATTGAATGGTGTTGCCAGATCAAGAGAGTAAACAGCTGATATCGTGCTATAACAATAATTCATTTTATTTATTCTTACACCCCTAATGGAGGGAAAGTTAAAGAAAAATAAGTGGGCTATCAAGGCGAAGTCCATTATATGGGATTTGACCCACAAAGGGCATTTTAATGCCATATTAATTAACAAATTTGTTTACAAACAGCTGTCCAGTGTGACCAAAGAAAAGCCTTAAACGCCATAAAAGGTACATTTTCATGGCGTTTCATGGCTTTTCTTTAATTTTTAAGTATTCAGCGATTCTGCTATAACACATGTTACAGCGGATTTTCATCGTCAGAGTACTAGGCTTTAGTCTTAACGAAATTATAAAACTGTTTTGGGTCCTCAGAAAACTGGGCCCTGCAACGAGTCAAATATTTATTGTAACACTGCGCGTTATGCACAGACTAGATAGGAACGTTGAAAACCGGTGCGTTTAAAATTTAGCTTACAGATTTGATTTTTTATTTTTGGGGCGGGTCAACTCTTTGGTAAACCAACACAGAAAAAATTATCGTGGGTAAATCCAACCATTTCGTGGGTCAAAAGGCAACAACCAAAATCTTGGGTTCCATGAACTGTACGCTGCAGTATAACGACGTAACGCATTATGTAACTTGTACTGCTCTACAGTACATGGAACCACGATTTTGCGGTTAAAAAGCGCCAAACCACGAAAATTGTGAAATACACTATTTTACTAATTTACTGTAGAAACTGCAGAGCAAATTGTGAAATACACTATTTTACTGTAGAAACTGCAGAGCAACCCACGTTTACAGTATACCGTACATATACTGTTGAATACTGTAATTACAGTTGAAATTACCACAAAAAATTATTTTTTCAAATTAAAATTCGATTTTTTAATTGGTTTCTTATTAAATATATTAATATTGTTCGGCGGGGGGGAAACTTGTTGTCCGTTCCGTAAGATGAGCACAAAAAATTCTTATTAGAAAACACTCCCGCGCCGCAGTCGTAAAACACCAAAGAAATAGCGAAAAGTCACCACCAAAAAGAATACCGCAAGAAAGTAGTAGGCCGGGGGGGGCGTGGTTATTTTCAATGTTAACGAATGGACCGCTTTATTGGAGTTCAATATAGGAATTAAAATGTACAAGTTGGAGTCGGAGATCAAACTAGGAGTGCGCGAGCGGCCGAAGCATCAGCTTGGAGAGCGAGAGCGCAAGCGGAGGAGCTTTGGACTGGAAGTCCGGAGGGAGAGGGAGAGAAAGATAGAGCGCACTGCCTCCCGAAATTAAGCGCCTTTCTGGCGTGAACATTCTCCCCCCTTGCGAGGATACGCAGCAAAATATTAGAAGTCTTGCGCTCGGGAAAGTGTTGGATTCGCTGAGCGGTCGTCGGCATGTAGAAGTGTGTGATGATCCTGTCCACACGACTGGCATCGGTCGTTACTACGGCAAGATCCTCCAGAATGGTGGTGGGCCAAGCAGTTGACGCAGTATTTCCTGTCGATGACTGCCTGGAGCCGTTTCTTTCCATCAAGTCGAAGAAAACGGTGGCACTTCCGAAGAGGATGGTTCCCTTGACAGACTCGGCATTGGTAGGATGAAATACCTCGGGAACGTCTGCTTTTGTTGTCGTTGTATGGAACCCAGTAGTTGAAGGAGTCGGCCGCATTGGTCACTTGTGTAGAGAACGACGAAATCCGTTGGATAGGTGGAGATATTTGTCGGGTGTCATCACGAGGAATCGGAACACTGGAAGATGAGTCGCTTGGATGCAACAAAGTGTGATGCCGACCGTGACAAGTAAGACAATTGTGGGCGCTTGTGCAATTACGGAGTGGATGACCGCTTGCAAAGCAATTTAAGCACAACTGCTTTTTCTGGATATAAGATGATCGATCGACTATCGTCATCTGAAGGAAGCGTGGACACAAACGCACTGGATGGTTCTCTGCAGAACACAAATCGTATTTTTTGGACGTATGTAGAATCCTCGTACTAAAGGATTGTAGTCCTCGTGGCGATGGGTTGGAACTTATCGGTTTAGATGAACGAAAACGTGTCACAGTAGGCTGGAGAGAATCTATGGCTTCCAGAGTTCTATAGCGCTCTGTTAGGAATGAATCAAGTTCCGGCCACGTAGGAATTTCGGTTTTTTGTTCGATGGATTGCTCCCATAATGAAAGCGTCAGCTTCGGAAGTTTTGTGGAGCTCAAATAGACAAGGAGGCAATCCCAATTCTCGGTAGAAAGGCCGGAAATTCTCAGCGATGTTAGACAATTTTGGATTGTATTTTGCAGCTCCTTCAAGGCTGCCGAGGATTCGCGTTCACTGGACTCCATGTTAAATAATTTCTTAAGTTGATTGTTTACTAACGCGCGTTTATTTTCGAAACGATCGTGAAGCGCTGACCACGCGGATTGGAAGCCATCATTGGTCAGTGGAGATTTAGAAACAATGGCGTGAGCTTCGCCGCTAGTTTTGGCGTTTAAGTGGAAAAGCTTTTCCACTGGAGTTAAGTTGGAATTGTTCACGTACATGGCCGTAAACAGATCACGAAATGTGGGCCAGCGCAGATAATCTCCGTCGAAGATTCCTGTATTGCATGGCGGAAGATCGCAGCCCCTCGAGAATGTCTCTGGTGGCGGAGCTGCTCTTGCCTGTGAATTGGAGACGGACACACGGTCAATGTATTCGCTCAGCTTGGAAGCACATCTTTCGTACACCGCATAATAGTGTTCGTATTTATTTTGAAGTTGCGGAAGATTTCCGCTACCTCCCTCGTGAAGAGCTGCTCTGGAAACGGTCTCATACTCCCGTTCAACCTTTTCCCATAAGGACTGGATCTGATCTAAACGGATCTTTAATGTGAATGAATTGGGCTTGGAAGTGGATGCCGCAAAAATCTGGCTCTCAAATTGGATGAGACGGTTGCTAGTTGCTATAAACTCAAGCATAGCAACATCTAGAGGGCCGTTGGCTCTGGATATCTCCCTCTTCTGACTTGCGTCTTGGGGAATTGACTTTTGTCCTTCTGACATATTTATATTCCTTTGGGAGTAGGCAGGAGTGACCAACTAAGTAGGTGAATGAAGCTGCTGGATTGAGCAGAATTCTCAAAATAAAGGATGTTCGCAAGAATATGCTGTAGAATTCGAATGGTAGAATTATTTGCTCCCAGTACCGTCAACTAAATCGAAGGACTAGCAATGTGAGACGGTAAAATCGAAACAAATATGGATTGCAGAGGATTGTAGAGGGTAGATGGTGGAATTAACCAATCTCAGTAAATAAACTGGAAAAAATTTACTTGAAGTAGAAGCGACGAGAATCGAAAATATGTGTAGAGGAATCAATATTAATTGGAGCAAATGCGACGAGAATGGAAAATTTATTTGTAGTGGAGCCAATATTAATTGGAGCAAATGCGACGAGAATCGAAATTTATTTATATTTATAAATAATTGCGGAATGGAAATGCAGAGTTTTTATTATTTTCGTATTTAAAATAAATGCAGGAAGGATGTAGATTACGTAATTATGACGATTGCGGATATTTATGCGAGTAAAAAAACTTTAACAATAATTGATTGATTAATTATTATTTAATTTAAAAAATATATTAATTGTAAAGAAAAAATAATTAAACCGGAATGGTGGGATTGGAACACCTGACACCTTTTTCCCAACACAATGTTCGTTGGGTTACGCTGCCGGCGATGTAAAGCTCTTGTGTATGGATATGTTTGTAAGTAGACAATTATATGTCGCGGCGGCAGCGGAACTATGCAAGGTGCAAAAATGAAATGCACAAAAAAATACGGACACTGGTTTACAAATTTTTTGCAATATTTTATTCTTTATTTATTGTATTTTTTTGATTTTCTTGTTTTATATATTTTTTAAAAATGTTGTATGTAATGGTTTTTGTATATGTTCATATGGAGAAAATATAATATAAGTATATGGATTTATTATAGCACTGGATAGCTATTCGTAGGCAGCGGACTGTATTGGATTGTTATTAAATTTTTATTATTGGAATTTTATTTTCTATTGTACGAAATAAAAATCAATGGGTTTCTGTAAGCTGATATGTATGGACATATGTATGAATTTGTATTCTTATGTAGGAACCGTTTTGTACATTGATGTACGGATAAATGCCAATATGAATAGAGGAAAGCGGAATAACAAGAATATGGCGACGTTCAAAACGGAGACGGATTGAAAATTTGCAAATTGTAGGAAATGGAAAATTCCTCAACTGCCGTTGTCAGGAAAACTCGCACTTGGAGTCGACACGGAAAATTAATCTTGCAGCAGAGTGACCGAAATTAAATGTTCGGACTACTGCTGAAGATCGGCAGCGAGGGGGGCGACGAAATACGGAGCACTTATCTTGGAAGCAGAAAACGCCGAGAACTGCTGGTGAAGCGGAGTTGTAGAAAAAATCCGGAATCCAAAATCCGGCTCTGTAGGACCAAATGTTCGGCTGGGGGAAACTTGTTGTCCGTTCCGTAAGATGAGCACAAAAAATTCTTATTAGAAAACACTCCCGCGCCGCAGTCGTAAAACACCAAAGAAATAGCGAAAAGTCACCACCAAAAAGAATACCGCAAGAAAGTAGTAGGCCGGGGGGGGCGTGGTTATTTTCAATGTTAACGAATGGACCGCTTTATTGGAGTTCAATATAGGAATTAAAATGTACAAGTTGGAGTCGGAGATCAAACTAGGAGTGCGCGAGCGGCCGAAGCATCAGCTTGGAGAGCGAGAGCGCAAGCGGAGGAGCTTTGGACTGGAAGTCCGGAGGGAGAGGGAGAGAAAGAGAGAGCGCACTGCCTCCCGAAATTAAGCGCCTTTCTGGCATGAACAAATATATGTTCTTAATTAATAATATTTTTTCCTTATATATAGATTTTCTTAAAGTATATATTGGTTTCTTATTGAATATATGTTCTTAATTAATAATATTTTGGCCTTATATATAGTTTTTCTATATTATGCACATGTAATGGACTTTTATATATGTCTTCAGGAAATATAAAATCGATTTGGTCTATTGCGTTAATCTGAAATGATCTTAAATGTTCATTAAATATCTCTATATTATATTTAAGATAGACAAATGCAAATTCCTTCTCATTTAAAAATAAAATTTCTTCTATTTTATAAAAAATCATATTTTTAGATAATATAAAAAACCCTTTTTTGTATTTGGTGCCCTTAAAGTATTGGTAAAATTATAATTTTTATTTTTTGATATTCGTGGCTTCAATGAGTATTTTTCTGGAAGTGTCATGCAGTTTTTGTATTTCCTTAAATATGCGTATCACGTACTCTCCAGAGCAGTGCTCACACAAAATTTCAATCAAATCCTAAGTAAATAAATTATTTAATTAATTAAATAAATAACAATATCAGTTAAATGCTTATTAGGTGCACATGATTATTTAATATATGCTATAAAGCAATACTTACAATAGTGTCCCTAGCATTCTCTGAACTTTTTGGAAGATTCACATCTAGACTATAATCAAGACCTTTATCTAGAGTATTGGTGTTCTGAAAGAATATTTGGATTTTTTAAAATTTGTTATTTTTGATTAATTATTTAAAGAAATATCTAAATAATTACAGTTTGTTTTCTCCATTCCAGAAGCTGCTTTCTAAATCGTATTTTTAAAATTTGTTATTTTTGATTAATTATTTAAAGAAATATCTAAATAATTACAGTTTGTTTTCTCCATTCCAGAAGCTTCTTTCTAAATCGTATTTTTTCTCCCAGCCTTCTGTTTTTGAAGAGGAACGCTAAATCTGCCTCATTTAGGTCCTTTAAGAAATCGCATGTAATATTCTTAAGTTGAAAAAAATAGGAAAATAGGAAAATGTAAAATATTTAACATGACCGAATATATGTATACATATGTACAAATATCGCAATAAACGGTTCTTGGAAGTCAGCGCCATTTATCTCGCTCGCACTTGCAAGACAATAAGAATCCAAAAAATCGTTCAAGAAACAACAACTGTACAGCTAATGCATGTATACGTGTATGCAAACACAGACATTTGCATGCATCTACAAAAAAGCTCAAAAATCGTTAAAGAAACGGCAACTGTACAGCTAATGCATGTATAAGTACGCACATACATACAGACATTTGCATGCATCTACATGAACGCTGATCGCTATTAAAATTGTAAAATAAATAAAGACAATCAAAGATCAGTGCCAAATATAAGTTTATACATATATGCATAAACATATATATTTTAATCTGTATACTAACTTTACTTTTAAAAGAGTTTCTTTTTGCGATCAACGGCGTACGTGTGCTTGCATATGTACATACAGTGACTCCATCGCATAATCGGACAAGTACCTTCTTATTATAAATGTGCTCAAAAACTATCAAAAATGTACGAAATGGATCGGTTCTTTCTGTTTTTATTCAAGATTAACATTCTTATTATTCAATAACATACAAAAAAATAACATATTTCTTAACTCTTAATTTATGAACTAAAACATAATTATTCCATTATTTGACGCTCAACGTATAATCGGACAAAGAAAAATATGAATGAAAAAAATAGGAAAAGGAATCAGTGTTTCCACAATGAGGGGAACTTCCCCTTTTGAGGGGAAATTAGGGTCTAGAGGGGAAGGAAAAGGGGAAAAACTATAAAAGGGGAAATTGCTTGAAATCATAGATAAAACCTAGCTCTACCGTGGACTACCGTGTTATCGTATAAAAGAAACAGTTACAGCACGTTCAGGTGGCGTATACTTACCCTTATTTCCATTCTGTTTAAGGCCTAAAATATTATTCTATGCTGAAATGTGTGCGCTGATAGCGTAAATTGACTTGGAATAAAAGGATAATATACAGTTCCAGGTTTCATATATTTCTATAAAACACGAATCGTTTAATTACACTTTATTGATACTAAGTCTAATTTCTTTTGATTCGCTTGCAGTTGCATTGGACTGTACAAACTTAAGGTGTGGTATTTCCAACTGATTTTTCATTAGTTGTACAGAAGTTGTTCCCGTTCTTTTTAAGCCAGATTTTACACAGAGAATTGATGCAACCGTTTCATTATCCAGCCTATTGCGTTTATCCGTTTTAATATTTTTTAGATCACCAAATAATCGTTCAACTGCAGCATTTGAAAAAGGCAGTGACATAAAATAGTTTACCAAAATGGGCAGTTGAAGGAATTTGCGTCTGCCGTCAACATTATTTTTTTCAAACATTTTTTTCCAATAGTCTACAGTATCTATGGAATCGTTACAATCCGTATCGCCAAGAGACTTTGTTTTCTCCATTCCTTGTCCAGCTCTGTTAAATCCACAGTAATATGCGATGGAATGTAATTCTTCGCGATTTCGTACAATGATGTAGGGTGCAAGTCATTGGCATATTTCGGGTTTAAAAAAGACGAATCATTGTAAAAATCGTTTCTTAATTTGTACGATTGCTTCAATATAAAACAACTAGCGGACCCGGCGAACTTTATCTCGCCCCAACTTCGACTGATTAAAACAAATTAAATTGAGACGTTCCGTTTCTACTTTGACGTACATGTCGAAACAGTACTGTTGAAACATCATCAATCGATACGCATAAAAATTCATAGAGCTGACCTTATTCCTATCTTCTCCTAAAAATTTTAGGCTAAAATTTGAATTCAAAATTAGTTGAGAATCAAAAAGAAGTGATGACTTTTAAACAAACCTGTCGTTGGATTGACAAATTTTTTTGACTTGAAATCTGTGGAGAGCGATCTGATAAACAATATTTTTTGTTTTGTTATCCGGTGTAAAAATAAATAATGATGACGGCTTTCCCACACGCGAACAGGCTACGTATAGCTGGCCATGTGAAAAATATGGATATTCTAGATTTATCCCGCAGACTTCCAACGATTGGCCTTGCGGTTTATTGATTGTCATCGCAATCGCCAATCAAACTGGGAACTGAATCCTCTTGAATTGGAATGGAAGATCTGTTGGAATAATCGGAATTCGTGGGATAAGAACTTCCTCTCCTTTAAATTTGCCCTTGTATATGGCGCGGACTTCCAACATAAGTTGCTGGGAGATTGGTCAAACAACCGATGTTGTTCGCGTGTCCTTCAATAGCGATGGCGTCACGCAAGTGAATGTACTCGTCTGACCGCAACTTCGACTGATTAAAACGAATGAAATTGAGACACAGTACTGTTGAAACAAACGGTGGTATCTTAACAGATGATTGTCAACATCAAGTCGAATCATCAATCGATACGCATAAAAATTCATACAGCTAACCTTCTTATTCGTTTCTTCTCCTAAAATTTGAATTCAAACTCAGTTGTAGAATTAAAAAGACGTGATGACTTTTAAACAAACCTGTCGTTGGATTGACCATCTTTATGTTGAAGTGATACCCATCTTCTCCACGACAGAACATCAACGGGTATTGAAGAGCATCATAAGACCGATGAGTCTCATAAACTCGCTGCAATTGGCCATTATCCCGACGCTTAAGAACAATATCGCGTGATTCAACATTCTCGCCAACAATCACCACTGCGTGTTCATTGATAGTGGGAGCGTTAAATTGTCTTGCATGGCTACCAGTGGGTCTTTTGTCAGCGCTGATAATGATTTTATGTTCGTCATAATGCATTATATCCAATGCAGTTTTGAACAATCTGACCAATTCATTATGCACATAGAGAAGATTTTGCAATTGTTCGATAATTTCACGTTAAGTTTTGTGGTGATAACAAAGCGCCCGCTCGGTGTTGAATTTGCCCATGAATCTGAATGTTGGAATGCAATTTTAAAAAATGTGAGTTGTTAATTTTGATAATAAAGAGACGCCATTACCTTATAACTTGGATTGTAGCCTGATTGATGAAAAACCTCGACTCCAAATGACGTAATTGGAAAGCATCCGTTATATTTTTGTGCAAGATTTAGGAAACTGTTTGATTGGGCTGAGTTTCTATATAGTAGCGAATACAATGGCCCTGGTGGATGAGCCAAAACGGGCAATTTAATTTTGCCACCTGCACAGCATAAGCCGGGGGTTTCCAACCGAAACTTCAATGCATTTCAATGCTGACATACAACAGATAATGAACCAATAACAACGCACGTAAGATCCTTGTAGGATGTTTCAGGATTGTATGCGAATGCAGCGCGATTCAAGTTTTCATTTGCGGCTCGTCTTTCTCTATTATTATGTCGGGCTTGAGGTGATCTTTGTGGAGCGAGAAGCTGTGCCATTTGGGCACGTATCGATGCATTAATTTCTGTACGTTCCTCTTGCGTCCGGCTATTACGGGAATTCTGAATACTTATTGCATTGCGTGAACGCCGTCCAAGTCTTGATCGTCTAACAGCAGGCATTACTTCCAATTGGTAATGCTTCGTTAGCTCGATTTTTTTGTTTAAATATTTTTTTACCGAGTTCATTGATACACAACTTCAACGCAGCTATGATCTTTGTAGGGTGTTTCAGAATTTTACATACAACAGTGTGTCCATCTGTTGAGCCGCTAGCGACTTTTCCGGAAGGTCTTCCCAAAATTTTCTTACCTTCTTCTGACAATTACAAACAACTGAAAAAAATTTGAGCGAAATCGGCCCAGCCGTTCTCTTGTGATGCCATTAGTAACATTTTTTGTCTCCATTTATATATATATAGCAGCGATGGGCACGCAGTGGCTCAATTTGCTCACGCTGCTCAAACCGTTATCTTTTTTCGGAGGCGCCAGCATGTCGCACAATTGCAGACGCACAAGTGCAGTGCTCGCGACCAGCGAACCGTGAAGATTTACAAAAACAACCACACTGACCTTTGGCGCAGGTAGCGAGCCCATCGCCGCGATCCCGAGTTTGCAACAACAAAACACAAGCGACCCGAACTCGCACATCGTCCCAAAAACAAGAACAATTTTAAAGGGAACTGTGCGGCTAGCGTTGACTTCTGCACTAAAGAAAAAAGTTTGGATTTCTTTTGCAGTCGTTTTTCTTAGGCGGACATAAATGCACGCAAAAATGGCTGAAGATATTGATCTACTCAAAAAGTTTTTGTCAGTGTATTTTCTCGGCTCGCACATTCTGTGTGTCGCGTGGGTGCGACCCTTCGCAACGCTGGGGGTTGTTGTTGTTTTTTTTTTTTTCAGCGAGCTGCTGCTCAAACCGTTAGATCTCGTGCCCATCGCTGATATATAGATTTAACTGACTGAACAATTTTCTGAACTTCACAGTTGTCATTTTCCAACTCTGTTAACCCTCTAGTGCCCAAATTTTGTTTTTCAAAAAAAAAATTATTTTTGGATTCAGTATATATCAAAAGTGAATGTTTGTTTTAGAAAAAATTTTACTTTTGCTCGGATCGAGTTTTATATGACTAAAACCTTGGACCGCATGAAGGCGGGAAAAAAAAATTTTGTTGATTAAATGTTTATTATAAATGTCATTGAGACTGTCAGCAACACAGTACAATTTTTTTTTCTAATTTTTTTTCCAATTTTTAAAGAAAGTATTTATATGTTGCATTTCCTACAAAATAATTATTTTGTCCGAGTTGCACAAATTTTCAACTTCAAATGAATACAGCAGCTTGCGCTAGCTCTAGTATGTATTCCAAACGCAACGAACTTAATTTTTGGACTTTCCTGAATTAGGAAAAACGGAAAACCATGTGAAAAGGAATGAAAATAATAAAATAACGGTGTTTTTAACATTGCCCGTCTAGAGACGGTCTTGGGCACTAGAGGGTTAATAAGTGGGTTGCATTCACACCTAAATAAATACGTTTCAATTCCAGATGTTCTTTTGTCTGATGAGTATTGATTTGGTTCGCAGGGGTTTTCTTGACATAATTTCTATTCATGAAATTTAACGCCAATGTTTTGATTAATTCTTCAGTTTGAGTCTTTAATTCTGAGAAATTATGATAATCAGCTTGAAACATGCAATTAAAATCATTAAACAGGCCAAGAGCGTAATCTACAAAATTCATTTTTATCAAAGGGTTCTCCAAGGTTTGGAGAGTTTGGCGGTTTGCATGTGTTGGATCTTCAGTAACTCTTCAATGGATTCCATTGTTCGAAAATTCTTCTCACGCATGCTTGAAGCGAATACCACCTGGTTTGAGAAGCTCTCAATATTTTATGAGGTTTGACTTCATGGAAGCTTTAAAACTCTTTGAAAGCAGCAGAATTTTTAGGGCTCCTTCTAAAATGATTGTATATATTGCGGCACAAATATTCACCAGATGTATCATATGGCAAGAGCATTTTGACACAAATACTTAAGGATAGTTTAGTTTGATTAGTTGGGTAAAAATTGCCAGCTAGTAAAGTGCAATTATATCAAAGTAATAATGTGCAAAGTCGACAAATCTCTATAGAAGAAAAATGATTAAGACTTTTTTTCAGTTAATACACTAGTGCCAAAACTATAAACTACAGCAAAATAATTTTTGAGGGGAAAAAAGTCCTGAGAAGGGGAAATCTGAATTAAGGCGTGGGGAAACGAAATCATTATTGTGGAAACACTGAAAGGAATGCATTTAATATTTGGTTGCGAATCCTTTGTTCTCTAGAACAGCTTGCAAGCCCCTAGGAATGGATTTTACCAATTTTTGGCACACTTCCGGCTCAATGCAGTTCCATGCTTCCAACAAAGCTTCCTTGAGGCCAATAATAGTGTTACATTTCTTCTGGTACACTCTTCTAGCCAAATCTTCCCAGAGATGTTCAATTACGTTATGGTCGGGGCGTTGCGCTGGCGTTTCGACAACTTTGGGACAATTATGGATCAACCAAAGCTTTGCAACACCCGATGTGTGCTTAGGATCATTGTCCTGGTAACCTAATTTATCCATATGCCATCTATGAAATGCAATTGGCCCACTCCAGCACTGGACATGCAGCCCCAAACCATCACAGAACCTCCTCCATGCTTTACTGTGGCCTTTGTGTTTTTGGGTTCAAATTCGGTATTTGGTTTACGCCAAACAAACTTCTATCCATCGGATCCATGTAAATTAAATTTACTCTCATCAGTAAATAGAACCTTTAATTAATTAATAAAAATCAACAACTTTTTCTGAGGTGATAACTATTATATTACCGTCTTCCAAAAATCCTCTGTTTTCATCAAATATTCTTTTGCATATTTAATGCGTTTTTGTTTGTTGTTGGGGCTAATAAAGGGCTTCTTCCTCGCAACTCGTCCAAAGTAATAAAATTTATGTAAAGTATTACGCACAGTATTGAGACACATGTCTTTACCAGTTCTGTTTTGTGAAGAAATCTTAAGTTCTTTAGCAGTTTTGAAGGGATCTTGTTTAATTTCTTTTAAAACCGACCGCTCTTCTCGGTCATTTAAGATTTTGTTTTGGCCTTCCCTGCTTTTATTGACAAATCTAAATTCATCAGAACCTCTTAATAATGTCGTGGACGGTAGATTTGCTTTTCCCAACTAATTCTGAGAAATCTCTTACTGTTTTTCCTTCAAAATTT